CTTGCCCTTGGCAGCAGCCAACTGGTTCACAGATTCCATCTGTATCATCTACTCCAAGACGTACCGTACCCTCTATCTCCCCATCAAAGAGAATGTAAGAGGTACAGTCTGCGTAACTGAGGCAGTGACAAAACCCATGACTCAGTGTGCTGGCGAAAATACAAGCTGCCAAAACAGCATCCCGCTGCACAGAGGTAGCCCCTGCCAAGAGAGCCAGATGATACAGCAGGATATCACACATAACAGTCCTGCCAACAATTGTGTCTGCTGGTCTAGGAGGCTGCTGCATTCCGCCTTCAGAGTCCTGAAGACACACTGTAATATGTTCCAGTGTGCTGGCCACAAACTTGAAAATGTTAATGGTTCGCAAATTTGCTTTCAGGGCATTGTGGACTGTTTCTCTGTTTCTGACTGAGATGCTGAGAAATTCCACGGAACGCGGCCATACCCCCTTACCCATCAACTGAACAAAAGTTCATGGTTCTGGGTCGGGAGAAGGAACCAAGAAATCCAGTTGGGGGATGAGGTTTGGCTCCAGACTTTGCTGGTTTCGATCCCAAACACCACACTGAACAGATAGCGCTTGGTCCAGCACCCCACCCTGGGGTCTTAGTACTATACTCTTCCACAGGGGACCAACACCGGCCCATCAACACCGTCTGTGCACCCTCTGCCATATACAGCAGTCTGCCGGACCAGGGGAGCCATGCAGCCACTGAAAAAAATCATTGATTTTGGTGTTTTTATCTGCCGATTTTATTGAACTAAAGCTATCCCATTCCTTTATTTTTTTGGTTTCCAATAGCCTTACACATTTGGATGCTCCTACACATGTTAAAACAGACCTTGATGGGAAAACAAATCGCTTGTGCGGTTTGGTAGAAAATTAATTGAGCTTTGCATGGACAGTAACTTGATTATTCTCAATGGGCGCACCATTGGTGATTCATCTGGTAAATACACCTGCTACACAGCAAATGGGTGCAGTACCGTTGATTATGCAATCACATCTACTTTTATTTTTG